TCTGCGTGATTACACCAACTTGTGTAATCCACACCTATGTACGGTCACACCATCTTGTGCGACCCGCCTTTCCATACAAGTTAACATGTGAACCCGCTACAGACGCATTCGTCTTTTCAACGGCTAGGAGCCGCTTCGACAAAGCGCGATATACACAACGTGAGAAGGCCGGTGGTCAACGTGCTTCAAGCATTTGAGGTCTTCCGCGCTGCGGTATGCGACCCCAGCATGGTGCTCAGGGGAGTCCCGATCGCGTCGGACTTCGCTCGCCGCCGACTCTTCTCGACGAGAATGGAGGTGTCTACCATCACCTGGAACGTCTTGTGGGCTAACGTTGTAGCCAAGGTCAACCCTAGTATCTTGTGAAGTGACGGGGATTACCCAACTTCGAGAACTCGTGAGCGTTTAAAGTAAAATTTGGCAAGACTGCCCAGACGTCGTGGACGCCTATGTTCAGAGGGATCATGACGTTTCGCGTCGTCGTATGCCCCGCACTTCTCGGCATTAGCCAGGGAAGCCGGAGGGGCATGAGCTGAGCTCAAGCTATGACTCTGAGCTGCTGCGGTTGCAGGCTCACCCGTGCGAGAGACCACAGAGCTCGCGGGAGCGTCAAGATTTAACTCATACGTCACACGAAGGAAGTCTGCGACGCGCCTTAAGTTTGGCAAGCTCAAACCGAAGATGGCGTTTCACACGCGCATCCACCCTCCTGCGGCTCAGGTGGAAGTTACGCAGTGTAGAAAATTTTTGGTGCCGCCGTACCCCTCGCTCAAAGGCTCCTCGTCGTCTTCAGCGGTTTTGCCAGGGGCGAGCCACACAGGAAAGGTCCGCATCGCGGGGAGCGTCTTCTTATTTGGCACGAAGTCGAGAGCGGTACGTATTCATTGGGAGTTTCTGAGGTACCAATAAGCGAGATCGGATAGCTTTTTGTTAGTCAAGCTCGGCTTGTGTAGTGGCCGAGGCACGACTTCGTAGACGCCATTTCGCTATAGAAGCGGGATCCGCCGCGCGGAAGCCGTATTCCACACGAGGATCTAAGACCGATCGCGGACACGATCGCATGAGAATTTCCTTGTGAGCAGCCCCAACAGCTGCTCTTGTGCCTTGTCGGGGCGATTGGTGATGATACCACTTCTTCCGGAAGTCAAGACTTCGGGGAACGGACACGGCGTCCGAAAGGTTTGGGCAGGGTTCACGTCGCGACGCTAGACCACCTCGCCCGTTTCACCTTCCATCGTGGAAATAGAAGTATCCGACTCATGGTCGAATTCCTCCAAACCCTCGACGAGGTAATCCATCGCCCGTGGAGGGCGCGGTGCGCAGTACTTGGTCACCGAGAGCTTGAGCTGCGCTTTCTTCGAAGCCTCGAACGTACTGTCCGGAGTTGTACCGCGTGCAGAAGACGAAGAAGGGACGCGTGCTCCGAATCAGCGAGGCTAGGTTTCTCCCATGTCCTTGACACAGGGCTTAATGAGCAAACTAATGGCCCGGTGATGTTGTAGTATCTTAGACACGCGAGCCTCGTTCGAGGCAACAGTTGAATGTGAACTGTAGGTGCTCACAATCTTGATGAGGGAGAGTGTAATGGGGTTACACAAAATGGTGTGATCACGGAATGGTATAAGTTACGCTAGATGTTGTGACCAGACATTGGTATGGCGACAAGTCAGTACGTGGTTGGAACAGACATTAGTTATACATTTATTGAGGCTTTACCATATAGATAGAAAAACCTATAGATTTTGATATAGGCGGCTGTGCCGCAAATTAAACCCAGAAAACATTTACATTTTAAACAGAAGAGCTAATTAACCTTGAAATAGGGTTGTAGTTACTCGAAGCTAATGAAACAGCGGGGAATTATTACGTTTTATTAAAGTTTGGGACGTTGATGCTGACAGCCAACAACTCCGAGCTGCGAGCTTCACACTGAAGAGAGTGGTCTTTTAAGGATGGATTTCATAGACGACAACTCCACGAGATACATTTAAATCTAAAATCTTGTTGCATGCCCATAATAACGGACTGCTTTATATTGAATAATAAGCTCAGCTCTACGACCGTTTCTATCCCAATAACAACACCTAAACATCCGCAAGATCCTTAGATTGGGGCGGTGGGAGTGTACCTAACATCTACTAGTATCACTCTGATCATTTCATTGGCGAACGGATATATCTGGTTGCCATAGACCAACTTCTCCGCACGCTGGAAACGATACGATGTGTTGCAGTTTCAATTATTCTGTCAGGCCGTATAACATATACATGAGTATTCTTTTATGATTGAGGGCCTCGATCTTCTACTTCCAATTTGACGACTCTCGTCTAAACCGGTTTTGCCCTTGAGATTGCGGCACTCGATTTCAAGAGATCAAATAATTAGACTTTAACATAGCGTCGATTGTTTCTGGACTGACATAACTCGTCTTTGTAAACACAGCTCACAAGAACAACACTTTCGGATCATGACTCACTGCCTGTTCCACTTTTCTTAGTTTAACGCGCATGTGCTTTTAACAATCTTTTCAATATTATGACCGGTTCCAAATCAGCAACAGCTTTATACCCTGGCCAAAATTTCTTTAGCTTACTAGCATGGGCCAGATCATGACTTGCCATAGATTCACTATTAAATAAGCGATGTCTTAAACTTTTTGATCAGCTCATAGATCATGGTATTGCAGCACCACCATACCTAGAACAGAATCATCTAAATTTCAGATCCACTGCAAAGCATAGTTTTAGCTGTCCAAAAACTAAAATTTTGCAGGAAGATTCATCAGTTTGTTCGACATATTAGCAGGTATGTCCCACGATGTGATATTCTTTTGCAACGCCCTCGCATACTAACTAATACGCCATACGACTTGAGCAAGCGGAGCACGATGTTTTATAATCTATCAAGCCTTACAAGTCTTATCAAGGCTCATAAAGTTCCTGATGGCAATAATTATCCCAAAGATTTGAGCCTCATACCAATTACAGCTAGATCTTGTCTAACATAATCACTGAAAGGTACAAATAGCGCATAAAATAATAATTTGTTTTGCGCCAAATGGAGCTCGATAGGATCTGGTGATTTAGCAGTCCGAAACCGAAGGTAGTGATCGCTCACGTGGAGGCGCTCACTAACTATACGAAAAAGCTAGTGGGCATGTCTAAGAGCGCCTCAAATTGACCTGAATAAAGGAACAGATTATAGCATTGTGGACTTGCTGATGTTTAGCATCCAAGCCATTTAGAATTAGGACATAAAACACTTTTTCAACAAATGAATTAATTTGAGATTGTCTTGGAATCGAATTTGCTTCAAATCAGAGCTTCCGTTTTGCGGTGGCAACCTCAAAGTAAGGATGCCGCGCGAGAGAAGAAAATGGACGGGCACGTGCACGCAGCACCTCAGTAAGACAGTAGCGCAGCGGGATGATTTAAAGCGATAGATGCTGAGGATTTTTGCTTGCTTAGCCGTGAGAGGCGTATCCCGTGCGTGTGTAGTATAGTGTATCCGTCAAAGAACTGGTGAATGATCCAGAAGTGATGAAATTATATTGCCGCAGTGGCGTCTAACCTTTTCACAGAGGTAATCTTTAAACACTGGTCCTATGATATGCTGATTGGTAAGTGTGAGCATCTCTACGAAAGCCTGCCACGCCTACCAAGACTTTCTGCAACAACCGGCCAGCTCTGACAAAACATCAACTATTGTATTTAGACAGAGCACATGGTTCGGGCCCCGAGAGCAGGATGTAATGCTGGGGTTGAAAGCTTTACAAGTGCGTCGGAAGCGATAGAACTCAGTAATGTTGATCAGGAGCAAAGAGTCTGTCTTGGCTGTTGAACATTTCCGGGATTTCCTGGACCGCGGTAATGAACAGCATCTGCGCCTTGTGTGCCCCTTCAACCTCGGCTGAAATATACGAATGTTCGGGCTTCCACGCAAGGATGGATATGGGGCCCTCATAATAAAGGCTTAAGGCCCGAACAAGCGGTAGGCAACAGTATAGAGTGCAAAGAAAGCAATGGTTATCCACAGAGTTTCTACGAATCGCTTTGATTCTTGTTAATAGTATTTTGTGATGCAATGACGAGAGATCTGCCATTGAATGTGCCAAGAATCGGATAGTGCACCATGATATGACCAAATCTGGAAATAAAAATTTCGTCGCACGTAAACGCTTCTTCCGTTCGAAGCGCGGGAATATGTTTAGTTAGAGACTACCAACCACTTGGCGCCAACATATTGCATCAAAAGGCTAACGGAAATGGCAAATGAACATGCTTTGAATTTGCTATAAATATCGCCGCCCATATCAACGCAAAAGTGGATTTCCCAAAGAACGCCCTTCAAGAAAGCACGGTCGGTCGCACTTTGTTCAGTGCTGCTGATCGAGAAATGGGTTCGAGCAACCACAGTGGCTTCCTTCTCGCTACGTTAAAAACTTCAAGCAACATGCGCTGGGAGCGTCTGAGCATATTGTAAGAAAAGTCAAGCGCAATATCTTCCTTCTATCATCTGCTGATAGAGCTATTTATGCTGCAGCAAGCCTATGCGCAAATTTATTTCGGGTTTATACCCGTTGATAGTCGTGCAGAGCACAATTACGCGAATGTGGGAATTTAATATAACCATTTGCGAGCAGCATTTATGGTTATGCGATGAAATTAGCGGATTCTTGATCAAAAAAGCGAAATTTTTGTCAACCGAGAAATTGTTTTCGTGCAATGCATCTACGAATATTAATACATTTAAGTATATATTGCAAGAGTCAAGGCCGCCGTAAATCAGCCAGTACTGGAAAATTAAATCGGACTCAGTCATGGCTTTGACGAACATATTTTCAAGACCACGGCAAACTGTGTCAATTCGGCGCGACTCCTCACATAATCTAAAGAATTTGTCAACTGACACGGAGTCTTAGTGGAAGAACAGGCCATCTAAGCTCCAAGTGCATCACTTCCAGTTCTCTTGGATCTAGATTCACCATTCGATGTTGTCAGTTTAGCTGTAACCTCTGCTATCGGCTGTATTTCACATCAAGTAGACGCTGATAGGCGTGATACGTAATAGCTTGAGTTTTGCCATCTGCATTGAAAATGCCCTAACTGATCATCGATAGACAGATGGTCAGGCGCATTATAGAAGCTACATGCTAAAAGATACTTCCAAATGCACTAACGCTTGAGAAACCGCGGCGTTAGAGCCAATCACTCCATAAACGAGTTCCGTTACATAATTTAATACTTGTCTCTGCAGACAGTAGCCCATTCATATAAATGGTTTGATTAGTCCCGGTGCTCCTTTGACAAAATTGCGAAGTGGCTCTGTTTGATGGGGCGGAGGCTATCAATACAATCTACTCGCTGTTTTAGTCCGATTACACTTTGTCACGAAAATACATACTTCCTTTTAATGAGGTGGAGCATCATGCGCCATGTGTGAGAGCTATGGCTAATAGCCTGGATGTTTGAAATCAACAGGTCGACGCTGGAGGAAGATGAGGGACAAACGAAGCAGAACGTTAATCGTATGCAGTTAGCAGTCGTACACATTGGTATCGGCAGTCAACAATACAAAATGCGACCCAGATATATCAGACCGTCAATTATCCTGGCCAGAGATCGAGTAAGACTTTTGATATTCGATTGCGCGCTATCTAACGAGAGCTTGCTGAGGTCATACCATGATTAAGCAGGAACGAGTCAGTCATATGTTTAGCGTTCTCTTAAGAACGAAACAGAGTTTGTTCCTTCCGGGGGGGCGGGTTATCTTCTGCTGTGGGTAAGTACAACAATTTTGAACAGCTAGTAGTGCGTCAAGCCACTCCTTACGATGGTGTAAGTATCGGAGTGCGTCTTCAGATCAAGTACTGTCAGTATATTAATGCAGGTCAGGGATCTGAAATTGAGTCGACGTGTCGGCATTACCGAGCGACGACGAGATCCAGCCGTGTAAAAGTGCTCTCTGCAGGCATTACTTGATAGGCAAGGTGTGCTCAGCCTTCATGTGCACCGATAAGAGAGCCGTTATATTGTGAAGCCGTAAGTAGAATTTAGTGTAGTAGATGTGGTATTCCCATCCGTTTAAACAAAGTTGAAATGCCACGTTAGCCTGATCATCCAAACGCGAGCTGCAGTTAAAAACTGGCAAAATACCCGTTTTATACCCTTGTAGAAGAAGCGGGGTCGACTATCAAAGCGCGCTTTCTGTGAGTGAGGTGACCCGATATTGATTCAGCTCTGAGAGCTGGTTGATTTCGGCAACAATTGTATGAGGACTAGCGGAAGCTTTTGCCGCAAGTACTTGGCGGCGATTTCAGCATCGATTTCCGCGTCGTGCTTTGTACTTCGCGAAGTCAAGCATTACATGACACACCACTTGGACATCTTTCTCGCTGAAGCTGGCTTATAGAACAGTTGGACTGGTGAGGTGGCGCGTCTTCCTCACCTAGTGCACACTTAGCTTCGAGAGCCCTTGAAACTTTGCCAGCGCTCAGTACGATACGATATTTATAAGGATGTCAGCATGCGCACAATCGTAGGCGCGGACGTTGCTGGTGGCCTATAGGGCAAGAATACGGTTGATCTGCTTAATGATTGAGCCAAAGTGTAGCCACACCTTTGTACGGTCACACCATCTTGTGTGACCCACTCTTTTATACCAGGGTACGTGTAACCTCGTTCTAGACTGCGCCTTGTTTAAATTTCGATGACACATAGAAACGTACGTCAGAGATATGTTTTGCGTTGCATGTACATTTATAGGAGCAGACATTGTAGGGCTCGAGGAGAATAGATAAACATCATAAGGTTATACGCTTGTTGAGGATTCTTTTCTGAGCGATGTCTTCTTTTTTGTTTGAGCCTCGGCGTGGTTGACATTTGATAGGTACCGTACTTAAAAGGACTAGGTAAATGAATTAAATAAACGATAGAAATGTCTCTGGGATACATAGCTGATAGCGTCATGTCATATATTACAGATATATATATAAAAATTAAATAAATAAACTGTATAAGTTACCTGAAAGAATATGGCTCACGCTTCTATGGAAAGATACGAACACAACCTTCTTGCACATTTAAAGCAGCTTCTTAAAACCAAAACGTTTTCTATGCAACGCGTTGCAACTTCTCTGCTTATCGTGCTCCGTGCTCCTACAGCAGCCTCTTCAAAGGTGCAGCACCCACGACCAGCGAGCCACGAGCCAACTCCTGTGAGGGAGCCGATATTAACTTCGATGTGCATTGCCATAGTAAAATTTTAACCCTGCACAATCATCCTCATTCACTTATGAGCATTAGGTCAAGGCGTTCTCCGAGGTAGAATTGCTTACTAGGCTCTATCTAACCTATGTACGAGTTGCGCGCTCCATTTTAATTTCCAACACCGTCTTTTCAAGGAGCTCACAACGATCATCCGACTGGGATTAATCAGCTGAATTTGGCACAGGATGTTTGGTCTGGTTTAAGTACAGGAATCCTAACAAAAGTATAGATCGTGAATCTCGATCTGAAACACTACAAAGAGCACGCCATGCTCGAGAAAAAAGCTGCTGAAAAAGGGTTTTACTAGTAACGGTGTCACTATCAGCAGCAAGATAGGCCATCGAGTACAGACAGTCCACAGTGGCAGCTTAAAGTAGGAAGCGACACTAATTCGGGTAGGAAACCAAATCCTTCAATAAAATTTGAGTATACTAGTTTATTGATCTCACTGAGCAGAATGTCGTTTCTTTTATGATGCGGCCGAAAAAGGGTATCAAGTGCCTCATACAGTTTTATGTACCGAAGGCTGTTGTCACGTGGTACGTACTATACTCTAGGTATATGTACCCAAAATGAGGTATTTCATGTTTTGTTTTACATTATCGTGTTTTTATAAGCATCGATCATCGGTGATTATGAAGATATTGGTAATTTGGAACGGTAGGTGTGCGGTACACGTGACTGCCAGCACCACGTCAGCTAGCTTGGGCAGTTTTGATTGTGTGAAGCAGAGTATATAGCGATAGTTTGATTGTATTCATCGTGTATTTTGTACTGGTCCGAATAATAAATGTTAAACATATCTCTTTATGAATATCAACGCAAGATGAGCTATCGGTTGCAGTTGTGGCTCTTCGTTTTGCTCCTTAATATAGGATTCGGACTAAACTATTTTGCGATGTTCACGTAGTCGAAGCCCCTTTTGTGCTTGCCGCGTTTCGCTAAGTAGATACTATAGTCGAGTCGATCGCGTCGTGATACGAAAATATCCTCTATGAGGACGAATCACGAGATTTCCAATTGTGTATCTCCGGTATAACGAGACAAGATTAGTAAGAGTCTAGCTTCTGGTGGCCCTGACTGGATCAGGGAGCTGATGGCCAAGAGCACAGACGCGGTACTCATCTACCTGAAGGTTCTGTTTACTTATGTAGATGCGCTGGAGGACACCTGTAGAAGTCTTAAATCATGTGCCGGTGCGGTAACACTGGCATCCACAGAAAGGCGGCTGATGTTCTGCATCCATGACAATAATTCGCTCATTTGAATAAGGAGGCCAAGATGACCATGATTTAAAAAAACAGCGCGTTGCGCTTACGATCTCGAGGCTAGGAGGGTTTCTCGGGAGCTCACTAACGCACAGTACCTATGCGGAGGAGTGATTTTATCATGGTAAGATATGAAGCGACACACGATACATTATTTTATAAGAGGCCGTCGGATCCGCTCCTGGTTGGGGTTTATAAGTCCGATCCCTCGCGTCGATTAACGCGGACGTTCTGAGTCGAAGCTTTCTTCGCGCAAAGAGCACCGTGACTTCATCACATGGAGCGTTTTATGTGTTGTCAGTTAAGATATCACTAACGTGTTTATCCAGGAGAATGTAATGCAAAAGCCTTAGGTAGGAGATTGCAATCTGGAATACAACTTCCAGCGATAGTACATGATGGTAAACCATTTGAGCCGTGTGGACAGAATCTAACACAAGATTCTAAAAATGAGTATAACTTCTAGGGTCCATACTGCAGCACATTTGTTTCGTGAAAGCCCGTCATCCTGTAAGAGGCTACCCTTAGTTTAACGGGGTTACACGTACCCTGATAACAGGAGTTTGTGTGTCACACGAGATGTTCATGGTGTGATCACACCCAAACACGAATACGGTACGAGGCTAGGTAGTCAGTAGGTATGCATGTATTAAAATTTTACTATATTTAGGAAAATCAAAACTTTTAAGATTAGGATAAAAATAAATAAAAATCAATTTTGGATTTCAAACGGAACAGCTAATTAGCCTTGGGTAAGGCAATAATTATTCATGGAGTAAGCGGAATGCGATTCGCTAGCTCGTACTTGCTCTAAGTATAGAACGAAAGGTCGGTGACCTAAAGTACGCTTCCTCAAGCGCTAAGCTACGGCAGTCCCGCTGCACTTGGTAGCACTTGCAGTCAATCTACACCTGAGTCGTTTTGACTGATCCTCTGTGAGGATGGAAGAACTTTCCCCTTTGCCCTAGGGCATGCAGGACGGGCTTAACAATCTGATGTCCTTGCTTGGTCATGAGGGCGTGCAACACCTTGTAGCGCAAGGTCCCGAGGCAATCGATGCGCGTCTAGAGGCGTAATCGAGTTACGAAACGCGCTGCTAGAGCACCTGCAGCAGAAGATGTCTGTATCATTTGCGTTTGTGACGCCAACGTCGGTGACGGATAATTTTCCCTGACATAAGCCGCTCATGGTGAGCGTTAAGGTCTTTGAGGGGAAGGATAGAAAGAATCTCATACTCTGGGTGAGCGAGGTCGCGATGGCCATCGCTTCCGCCATGCTCCAGACCGAGCGAAAGCGCGTAGCACTAGCCATCTCAAAACTCGAAGGTCGAGCGCGAGAATGGGCACTGACGTGCGGCACTTCGGTCGAAGCTGCGTTTCCC